CATAATTTCATCGTCAGTTTCCTGACCCTTCTTGATCTCATCAAGCAAAGTAGGTCTCACCTCAAACCGTGCCAATAAGGCACCATTACTGGACACCTCCAGTTGGGCTCTTAATGCCCTCAAATTAGCTATCAATGCCCCAGATGAGCTCTTCCGGCTCAAAGCATCTGCCACCACATTTGTCTTGCCTGGATGGTACTCAATCACTAGATGGTAGTCCTTTATCAACTCCATCCACCGTCTCTGCCTCATGTTTAACTCTTTCTGAGTAAACACGTACTTCAAGCTCTTATGGTCAGTGTATATGTGACATGTCTCTCCGTAGAGATAATGTCTCTAAATCTTCAGTGCGAACACCACTGCTCCCAACTCTAGATCATGGGTGGGGTAATTTACCTCATGCTTCTTCAACTGTCGTGAAGCATAGGCAATTACCCTCCCCTCCTGCATTAACACACATCCAAGCCCTTGGATGCTCGCGTCACTATAGACATCGTACCCCATACCCTGTTTGGGTAATGCAAGTACCGGTGCCTCGATCAATTTCTTCTTCAGTTCAGTGAATCCTTTCTCACATTTGTCATCCCATACAAACTTAGCTCCTTTTCGAGTGAGCTTCGTCAAGGGTGATGCCAAAACAGAGAACTTCTCCACGAACTTTCTATAGTATCCTGCCAATCCAAGGAAACTACGAATTTCCTTGACGTTCTTTGGCCTCTCCCATTCGGTGATGGCTTCTATCTTCTTGTTATCGACAGCGATTCCCGATCCCGAAACCACATGCCCGAGAAAGCCAATCTCCTTAAGCCAAAATTCACATTTAGAAAATTTGGCATAGAGTTGCTTCTCCCGTAGTGTTTCAAGAACGAGTATCAAGTGCTCCTCATGCTCTTCCTCACTCTTTGAGTAGATCAAGATGTCATCAATGAACACAATCACGAATCGGTCCAAGTATTTGTGAAATACTCGGTTCATCAAGTCCATGAATGCCGCCGGGGCGTTGGTTAACCCAAACGACATAACAAGGAACTCAAAATGCCCATACCTCGTGCGGAAAGCACTCTTCGGTATGTCATCCTCCTTAATCTTCAATTGATGGTACCCCGACCTCAAGTCAATCTTTGAAAACACGGTTGCTCCTCGTAGTTGATCAAATAAGTCATCAATCCTAGGCAAAGGATACCTATTCTTGATTGTGACCTTGTTCAGTTGACGATAGTCAATGCACATTCGAAGTGTTCCATCCTTCTTTTTCACAAAAAGAACCGGTGCTCCCCGCGGGGAGTGGCTTGGTCTAATGAAACCGTTATCCAAAAGCTCTTGCAATTGGGTTTTCAACTCGTTAAGTTCAGCGGGTGCCATGCGGTACGGCGGTATGGAGATTGGCTTGGTGCCGGGCTCAACCTCGATCACGAACTCAATCTCCCTATCGGGTGGAAGTCCCGGTAAGTCTTTTGGAAAGACATCCGGATACTTGCATACTACCCTCACATCATCAATGCTCGCCTCTTCCTTGGTTTTGTCTATTACATAAGCTAGATAAGCGTGACATCCCTTTCTTATCATACTCCTAGCCCTTACGGCGGATATGATACAACTATTGGATTTGGCCCTATCCCCCTCGAAGCGTAAGGTTGCCCCTTCGTCGCTTTCGAGTTCAAGTACTTTCGTGTAGCAATCGACCCTAGCATGATGCTTCTCAAGCCAATCCATCCCCAGGATTGCATCAAATTCAATCATACTCAGCGGCACGAAATCACACGACAAGTTTTGGCCCTCCACTTCCACCTCACACGATGGATAGTGGCTATCTCTCTCGATGTCCTCCCCTAGGGGTGTGGATACCAATAGGGCTTGAGCCATCGGTACCAGGGGCACGTTGAATCCCCCGGCGAATGCCTCACTCACAAATGATCGTTGCACCCCGGTATCGATGAGGATTCTCGCACATCTCCCATTAATCTTTAGTGTTCCTACATTTATAAGCCATGTAAGATACCTCTCTAACATACCGACCAATCCTACGAAGAACATAATGCGAAATTATGTCCTTAAAGTGGGCAAAGTCCCCCAATGATGGTTGACGTTTGCAGTTGAGATATAAATTGACACTGTCTCACCGTTTTGATCATATCTCTTCACATACTTAACTAAATCGTTCGATTCAAATTCCATCATTTAGACAATGAAAATATCTACAACTTTCATGAAGACAACTTTTTCATTTGACGAACACTTCGAGGTGTACCCGGTCGGGTAACATACTATACCCGATCGGGTATAAGTTCCAGTGGGTTCGGGCAGAATTTTTTTGACAAACCCGGTCGGGTTTACCACCATACCCGGTCGGGTATGTGTTCCAGAAGGTGTCGGGAAGAAATTTCTGACAAACCCGGTCGGGTATACCACCATACCCGGTCGGGTATGTGTTCCAGAAGGTGTCGGGCAGGAATTTTTGACAAACCCGGTCGGGTATACCACCATACCCGGTCGGGTATGTGTTCCAGTGGACTTATGAGTGCAAAAACTTGGCCTACCCGGTCGGGTTCATTACCAAACCCGATCGGGTATGCGATCCAGAAGGTTTACGAGGGCAAAAACTCGTCCCACCCGGTCGGGTTTATTGCCCTACCCGGTCGGGTAGTAGCATGGTTTTGCTCTCCTTTCCCATTTCAATCTTATGTCTGCTCCCACCTGGATTCTAGGATTTATAACTTCAATTTATGGATGAGGAATGGGTAAAACACGGGAAGTTAAGCGGTCGTACCTGCAACCGAATCTGGGTTAGCTCGGGCATCCGCCTCCGTCATTGCGTAGACCCTTGCTTGGGTCCTTCCTTGGTTCACGGAGGGTGCGTTGCTCATACTTGCTCCCCCTTGCCCCGTACTAGCATGAGGTGCTCCGGTTCGGCTCCTACTCGCCGTAGTAGGGCCGCTTGATCCCGCCCCTCGGTTCCCACCAAGTTGAGGGCAGTTGGGCTTGATATGCCCTGTGCTCCCGCATTGGTAGCACCGTGGTGGATCACGACACTTACCGGCGTGGCTCCGGTTGCAATTCCTACACCTTGGCGCAGTTGACGCTTGTGAGCCCGAGTTGTGCCCGCTGAAGGCCGGGTTCCCTTTTGATGGCGGTGCCGGTGCCCTGAACGATCCGCCTCCCCCATGGTTCCCCTTCTTGTTGGAACCTTGGGGGCCATGGCTTTCCCACTTCCTTTTCTTCGCCTCCTCGGCATTCCTTAGCTTTCTTTCCTCCCACTCCTTCTCTCCCTTCAGGCCTTGTTCAACCACTTGACTAAACGTCATATTAGGCAATTGTGTTGCCCTCTCACGTATGTCAAGGTCCAAGGCATCCCAGAAGTGGTTCACCATCCGGTTCTCATCACATATGTACTCCGGTATGAATTCAGCAAGCTTTCTGAACTTGTGCTCAAGTTCCTTCACCGTGCATGCACCTCCTTGTGTCAAGTTTGTATACTCCCTCCTCTTCATGTTTACCTCGAAGTCGGAGTAGTATTGGTTGAAGAACTCCTGCCGGAAGTTCTCCCAAGTGACGGCCTCGCCGTACTTCCCTTTGACTCCATCCCACCATGTGGATGCCATGCCTTCAAGCAATCTTATTGCCACCCTCGTTGAATCTTTTGATCCACTCGGCCGCCACGGAGATGTCCCCCGTTCCGTCAAACGGTTTACATCCCAAATCTCTTGCTTCCTTGACAAATTTGGAGATCCTTATGGTTGGACCTCCATGTTAGAGATATTTTCATTGTAATTGTGATCAATGTTGCTTTGCTAGTTTATAGTTAGCTAGAATAATGAATAGGCCTTTTAAGGCAATTTTGTAATAAAGGTTTTATACCTTTTTAGGTATGGGCCTCCTAGGAAAAGGAGCCCAAATGATTGTAAAACCTACCTTTCCCGTCAGGCTATATATATGCCTTAAGGGAAAGGCTAGGTTAAGCTTTTCGATATTCCTAGTGCCGCAGTGCCTATTCTCGTGATAGAAGTTTTACGCTTAAGTTTCATATCATTCTGTAAACTTCTTCATCAATCAATGGAAAGCTTCATTCCCAGATCTATCTTCCATACATACACATTCTAGACTAGAAAACAGGGACCTAACATCTGGTATCAGAGCCGGAGCTGATCGATCGATTGAAGGCTGGAAAAGCTTCTGCGCGATTCTTCATCGGCGAAGATTTTGCACTTGAGCGATTTCTGGCTCTATTTTTGTTGTTGTTTTTGCAGGAAATGGCTTGAAGGAAAAGGTTTCTACTGTTGCTAGGATCATTCCTGGAGAAAATCTCGATCTGAAAGTTGACGTACAGGTGAAGCTGAAGTTGAGCGATTCTGCTGTTTCGCGCAACTCGCTTGAAGAGAAGGACAGGAACACGCAACTCCACTCCTGCGCGATTTCGAGAATCACGCAACATCTCCTGCGCGATCCCGACGTTCGCGCAATCCTCCCTGCGCGATTTCGGACTTGCGCAGTCTCAACAAATTGAGCGATTTCGATTTCACGCAACTTCTCCTTTTGCGCGATTATAGCCTCGGCAGAACAGGACTTGCGCCATCTTCAGAAGCCCTGCGCGATTTCAACTTCACGCTAACTCCCTTGCGCGATTTGTGAAGTTGCGCCATCTTTGGACTTGAGAGATTTTTTTGTTGTGAGATTTGTACTTGAGCGATCTCTACACTTGAGCGATCTTGTCCCTGCGCGTTTTGGAGTTGAGCCATTTAAAGTTGAGCGATTCTTGAAGTTGAGCGATCTTCCAACACTTGCGCGATCTCACACTTACAACTTTTCTGAACAAGAACCTTCTGCCGGAATTACCTAACAACTGAACAGAATCAAATCAATCAACTGATCAGCCCGATCAAATTTTAAAATGGAAGCTTTTCGATATTCCTAGTGCCGCAGTGCCTATTCTCGTGATAGAAGTTTTACGCTTAAGTTTCATATCATTCTGTAAACTTCTTCATCATTCAATGGAAAGCTTCATTCCCAGATCTATCTTCCATACATACACATTCTAGACTAGAAAACAGGGACCTAACACTCCAGCATTTTGGCCTCCGTGGGGTTCAACATGGACCCTAGAAGCACCATGACTTCCCCCTCTTGAAGCCATGCCCGAAGGTTGCCCCGCTCGGCGCCTTCGGCGTTGTCTCCTCTCCTCACGCTCCTGGTGCTATTGTTGGAGCAGCGCCTCGATTCTCCCAAGAGTGCCATCATCTTCACTCTCTTCACTCACATCATCATCCTCCCCATCATATGGGGTTTCCACCGGCTCGGTTTCCGGTCTATAAGTTGAGTCCTCATAGGACCAATAAGTCTCACTCTCGGTGTCCACGTGGCCATCGCTCACGATCTGTTGTTGGCCTCCACGGCCTCTTCCCCTTGACACCCTAGTGGACCCCCGGCTGCCGCGTTCGGACCCACCCGGTACACGGCCCGTCGGGTTCCTCCTAGTGATTCTACCAATTGGCTCCATTTCTGAAAGAAGTTTAGAATGAGCCATTAGACTCGTATCAACTATCAAGTGACGGATAGGTACTTAAAGACATCTTTTGGCTTAAATCACCGCCATAGCAATTGTTAAGGGTACCATCTTAACAATTAGAGACTTTGCAACTCAAGTACCAAAAGTTCTATAAGTACAAAACTTTTTATGCTCATGGTTTTCAAATTCGTTTTCAAAAGAGGTTTTGAAGCTTCATTATGAAGTTTACGGACTAAGGCTCTGATACCAATTAAATTATCACGCCCCGGACCTATCCGGACACGTCAACAATCCGCCGTACAGTACGAATAGTCAACCGCAGTCCAACACATTCATACTATACAAGGCGTCTGGGATATCATTCACGCATAGTACATCCATAAACAAACATAATGTAAAATATTCATTCAAAGCAGCGGAAACATTTGGTACAAGTGTTCATGCCACACTTGGCAAACATGGGCATACAAGCCCCCATTAAATATTCAATAGAAAAACATTATCCATGAGCATTAATTAAAGTGTTTGAAAATGGAATCTGAAGAGGCACGAACCACGTCTCCCCTTCTTGGATCCTACCCGAGCAACGGTGATGGCAGCAAGCTTTACTCCCTACCTGAAACTGTGAGGTGGCCTCCCCCGTGAAGGGGAGGTCAGTACTTGGAAGCATTTGACAAGTACAATGACAACTATACTAAGTATAATCAAAGTTTCAATTTCCAAGACCCTCAATCTAGGATGTCATTCACTTATAATTAACTCACGTTCCTTCATGCTAGAGCTCGGCTCATAGTCATGCTAAATTGTGCTAGAGCTCGGCTCATAGTCACACTACATTTGCTAGAGCTCGGCTCATAGTCATACTAAATTGTGCTAGAGCTCGGCTCATAGTCACCCTACGTTTGCTAGAGCTCGGCTCATAGTCATGCTAATTTGTGCTAGAGCTCGGCTCATAGTCACCCTACGTTTGCTAGAGCTCGGCTCATAGTCATGCTAATTTGTGCTAGAGCTCGGCTCATAGTCACCCTACGTTTGCTAGAGCTCGGCTCATAGTCATGCTATACCACGTGCTAGAGCTCGGCTCATAGTCACGTCAACTAATCCCTAAACCACTTCTTAGTCTAGGTTCCATCCATTTTGAGTAACCCTTAAGGCCTACTCCAAATGTAACTTGAGTTCATAATAATTTGGATATCTCAATTAAATTCCACATTCAAGTATAACTTGGCTCTAATATCAAAATATCACTTTTATCCTTCCATGACTTCCTTACATGAGGTAAAAGTATATTTATCACAATTTAGTTTATAGTTTACACAACTATTATACCATTGTATTCATAACACATAATCATACACAATTTATTCATAAATTTGTATATTATGCATTTTTGCTTATAAACAATAAAAATCTCATTTAGGCATTTTTTTGTACCATAAATAAATCACGCCAAACACATATAATTCATTTAGGTAATCTTATGAAATTAACCCAATAATTATAAGCAATATAGTCGGTCATCCTCACCTTAAGTGAGCTTGAGCGCGTTCTACGCTTCCCGATTGAACTTTGGCTAATTCCGGCAAACTTTGACCAACTCCGGCGAACTTTGACCAACTCCGGCGAAACTCCGGCGAAGCTAAAAAATGCTTAGCTCAAGTTCCTAACAAGGTTTTAACATCATAAAACCTTAATCAATACAAATAACCTTTAAAAGGTTATTTTCCGGTGAACTTGTCGGTTTGGCTTCTAAGTCCGTTTTTGGACTTAAAACCACTCTCCAACCTATTATTCCACACTTTAATTATGTAGAACAACCCTCAAGGTCCTTAATATGATATATATCACATATGATAGAAGGAAAATAAAGGAAAAGTTAATATAAGGTCATTACCTTAATCTTTCTCACTTTCTCCCAACTTTTTCCTTCTTAAAACACCTTCTTTGGGTTACTCCTCCTTGAGCTCGAATTTGGATGTAAAAATGGTGAATTTCAGAGCTCCTTCTTGCTCTTCTTGGGTGTTGGTTCGAATGGATGGAGGTGGTGAGATGAGGGAGATGGTTTTTGTCTCAATTAGACAAATGAGTGGGGTGGAGGTCCACTTTTTGTCCCTTCTTACCCAATACATCACCCACAGCCCCATTTCCCATTATTTACAGCTCCCATTTGACATTCTCAGCACCCAAAAACGTGGGGTGTCCCCCACTCATGTGGGAGGTCATCCCTTTGTGTCCCGATGCGTACAATCGGTCCCGAAAGTTGTATTTTTCGGACTGTTTTAAATATATTTTATTTTATCGGGTCAAATAAAATAAATTATGTGTTCTCAATCATTATGACCCTTATAGTGAATATACATTCCCCAACTTTAATTTATAGGTCTCCGAAATCCAATTTCGGGCTATTACCCGTTAAATTACCAATACCGGTAATTGAGCCGCTTTTGACCAATCGGTCCACATTATGTTATTGCTTTGGACCAAATAAATTATCCCCCTCTATATACATATTATTTCGACCATGTTGAATAAAATATACGGTCTCGGGAATATCGGGCGGCCCCGCTCCCAATGTGGGTCCCGCGTGCGAATTTACTATTCACGCAAAAGAAATATTAAAAATTCACATCTTCGTATACTCATCGACCATTCCGTAAGGTTCAATACATTATTCACTTAAAAGTAAATATATTTGGGGACGGTGCTACAGTGTCTATAATCTTCCAAATTTAAGATATCCTCTTAGAGTTCATTCGAAGAAACATTTACAACGTCTCTCTAAAGAAGAAATTTTCAAACCTTATCTCACGAACCAGCCATTTACACACAGAAACGATGACTCTGTCTCCTCTGCTCCTAAAATCAAACAACAATGGGTACCAAAAGCAGAAATTGAAAAACAAAGAACATTATCTGAAAAAGCTGTTGACCTTGGATCACAGCTGAAAGAAAAATTCAAAAAGAAATTCTCTATTGATAAGGAAGGACCCATCCTGCGGTGGGTACCTAAAAGTCCTTAATCTGTTTTGCAGAACGGTCATGTGTGGCACTTAGACTCTGGCTGCTCAACCCACATGACCGGAATAAAAGAGCTGTTGAGCAACCACACAAAGTGCTACGGTGGAAATGTGAGATTTGGAAACAATGCAGCGTCTCCAATCCTAGGGTATGGGGATGTTATCTGTGCAAGTGTCACCATCAAGGCTGTGTCATACGTGAAAGGACTGAAGCATAATCTGTTGAGCATTGGACAGTTCTGTGACAGTGGTATGGAAGTGAAGTTTATAGCCAGACAATTCTGTGTGCTGGACAGGTTTGGGAAGGCATTACTGACATGCACTAGAACTTCCAACCTGTACACCATTGATATGAAGAGCGTACAATTACCTTCTTCCATCTGCCTACTGTCCAAAGTTTCCTCTGAACAAAACAGCCTATGGCACAGACGCTTATCTCATCTTAACTTCAAAGCAATCACAACACTGTCTTCCAAGAAACTTGTGAAAGAGCTGCCTCCTTTAAAGACTTCCGCTGTCAATCATTGTGATGCCTGCAGACTAGGCAAGATGAAAAGGAGCTCTCACAAGTTAAAACCTGTTCCATCCTCCTCCCGACTGCTGCAACTACTTCACATGGATCTGTGTGGACCGATGAGGGTCCAAAGCATTAATGGACGCAAATACACACTCGTTATTGTGGACGACTTCTCTCGATATACATGGAAAGCGTCATTATTATTTTTACAATTTATTCATTTCATTCGTCACATTGAAAGCGTCATTATTATTGTTATTATTATTATTATTATTATTATTGTTATTGTTATTATTATTATTATTATTATTATTATTATTATGATTATTATTATTATTATTATTATTATTATTATTATTATTATTATTATTATTATTATTATTATTATTATTATTATTATTATTATTATTATTATTATTATTATTATTATTATTATTATTATTATTATTATTATTATTATTATTATTATTATTATTATTATTATTATTATTATTATTATTATTATTATTATTATTATTATTATTATTATTGTTATTGTTATTATTGTTATTGTTATTATTGTTATTATTATTATTATTATTATTATTATTATTATTATTATTATTATTATTATTATTATTATTATTATTATTATTATTATTATTATTATTATTATTATTATTATTATTATTATTATTATTATTATTATTATTATTATTATTATTATTATTATTATTATTATTATTATTATTATTATTATTATTATTATAATTATTATTATTATTAAAGTTTAATCTGATTTGATTTAATCTGGAACTGAAATCAATCCAATTAAAATAAATCTATGAAAATAAAAGTAGGAATTTGTAAACATATAAAGATTTTTTTAATTTGGATTAGGAATCTATGATTCAAAAGTGAAGGTACATTAAATTGTAGTGGTAAAATAAAGAAATAAAAAACATATTTACTTTTTTTTGCTAGGCCTAAACGTATTTACTTGTGAAAATATATAAAAAAAAATGATACATCTATGTATTTATATATGATATCAATTTTAATTCTTAATAAGGGAGTGTTTGCAATTGCTTCAACTTTAAAAAAGTGATTTTTTAAAGTGATTTTGGGAAAAATGATTAATAGTAAAAGTTGGTAGTGTTTGAGAAAAAAGTGATTCTGGAAAAGTAAAAGTTTGTAGTGTTTGGTAAAATAAGTACTTTTTGTGTAATAGAAAAAGTGAGAAGCAGTTTAAAGCACCCTTCTACCTGCTTCCAGCTTTTAGCTTTTAAGTGATTAATTTAAGTAGAAACTGTCATTTGAAAACACTCTTTTCAACTTTTTTTTAAACCAAAAGTTGAAAAGCGCTTTTTTTAAGCAAACCCAAACACTCCTTAAATAAGGTCAGCTAGAAGTTCTATTTAAGATTCTATATTAGAATATCTAATAGTTTTAATGTTGTTTTTCAATTTCAACTATATGGTTGTTATAATTTTTATCATTATTTTAATAATTAATAAAGAATTGTATGAAGATGGAGCAAAATGCGAAGTACTAACACAATTGCAAACCTGGTCTTAGAATTTTAATCATTATCTCTTTTGAAAAAAGAATTTTAATCATTATCTCAATATTGAGTTTAGAAAAATAAAATATTACATTTTAGGAAATGTGACACTATTATTACATTTTTTATTTTTATCAAATTACTTTGAAGACAAAATTAATAACAATTTGGCCGATTTATCTGTTAAGTTTCCAAAAAACGAATACCTCATCTCTTTAATTGAATGTAATAAAAAAACTAAACAAATAGAAAAATAATTAAATGATTGTTACTCTGTGAGTTTGTGCTTAGAGTTTGGTTATTAATTGCTTTAGTTCCAATTACAGAATTTAGTACTTATCAAATAGGTAATGAGTTTTTTACGATAAAAAAAAAGGTAATGAGTTTTGAAAAAGTTACGAAATTAATTAAGGTGTAATTCTACGGTTTTTTATTTTCCATATCAATATGCAATCAAAAATAGAATCTAGCTAATTAAAAAAAGAAGGTATAAATATAACTGAATAATTAATATATATAATGACATGGCAGGATTATGTGGCGCTTTGTATATTCTTAAAAAGTTCCTCTTTATATATATTTATATATATTGATTTTAAAAATATTATATAAGTGTTTTTCAATTATGCATAATTGGTATTACAAGTGTACAAAAATATACTCTATAATTTATCTTTTCTAATTACTAGTATTATATATACTACTGTATTATATATTCCGTAGTAATGAAATCGTAGTGCTTAAGATGATAATGTATTACGTATATTATATATAAATCCGAAGAGCGATTCTTAACAATTGGCTAGTGCAGCCTGATGGTTACAGTGGCACTTTAGGTCTTCAATTGACAGAAGACCCAGGTTCAATTCTCCCATCCATCGAGTTTCAAACTTGGGCCGGTTATTGCGCTATTATCCGGTTTTTGTAGTTTGCAGCTCCCATACAATGATACAAATATCAAGGGAAAAGGGGCAAAAAGCCCTTGAAAGTTATCACTAAAGTTGATTTATGCCCTTCAACTTTCTTTTTGGGAAAATATCTTGTGGGGGGGGGGGGGGGGGGGGGGGGCAATTGACCCCTTGACTTCACGGTAAATCAATTTGAGAGCACTAGCAAGTAGCAACCGTTAATTTTACTCCTTTCAATTAATTTTATTTATTTATTTATTAACTATTCTTGTAAATACCAAGCAAAAAAATTAATCTTGTAAATTAATATAAATATAAATAAAACAATTAGAAAAGAACTACTCCATATAGCCATTAGAGCCCATTTTATATGGCAATGGCAAAATCAAATTAGGGTCCTGGCACTTTATATTTTGATATAAAAATTATGAAATATGAAAAAGACTAATTTTAATTTGTATTGTCACATACAGAGTAATATTTACCTTATTTTTTTTCCCAAATAAAACCCTTTTGGTAGCATATGGTTCGGCTTATCAATCAATCTTTTTGTTATACTTTTTAAACAGGTCATTTTATTGAAATTGTTTAATAATAAAAAACAAGTGAGAATAACCAAACATTTCAGCCCAGCTGATTGTGAGGTTACCGTGCCTAGTGGGAGGTCTCGAGTTCGAAATCCGTTAGACGCATAAGGGTTCGAAAGTCAATGAAGTGAGTTCCAGAAAGAGTCGGATGAAAAAGCTAAAATAGCTAAATTTAAACAACTCGAATCAATTTAACCAAAAAAGCAATTTCAATGTCACTTATTTTTATTATTAAACAATTTAGCTAAAATGGCCGGTTTAATATAATTTGACAAAAACATTGACGGATTAGTCAAACTATATGCTACCAAATGGGTTTTAAGTGGTAAAAAATAGAGTAAAAATTAGGCGACAACACAAAAATAGTCTATTTACATTTGAAATAATTACATAAATATGACTAAAATAAAAATGATTTTCAAAAATGCGACTAGTGACTAGAGTAATAATGAAATCACAGTAATTTATGTTCAATTTTTGAACTTATGTTACTATGACACTAAATTTTAGTAATTAATAGTTATATTTGTGTAAAAAGTTAT